GGGGAAGCAGGGTCTGCAAGCTACCGCTGCCTGCCTGGTCCTTGGCTTTCCCTCCGAGCTCTCCCACACAAGGGCTGCCAAGGAGCGATCCTGCTTTGCTAGCAGAATGCGGTTCCCGTGTGCCCTGTACTCCCACACACAAACCCACCGTGAACTTACAGAACAAGACAACATTGCTGCTCTCAAATCTTTTATCCAGAGCTGAGATTGCCTGAGTGCTTACCCTGTTCAGCTCCAAGTAATCCCAGCACTTCGCTTAGCTGGAGGCTGGCTGTGTTGGGAATAAATACCCTTGCTGTCATTGCCAAGGGGTAACAGCCAAAGAACAGGACAATACCATTTTCCTTCGTAATGCAGCATTATTCATCAAGCAGCACCACACAAAGTTGCCAGGATGCTGGCAGTCTATTAAAATCAACAGCGCAGGCAGGCGAAGCAGCAGCGTAAGCACCACTGGACCAGCTCAAATCTCATCAGAACTTAACCTGAACCTGCTCCAGCTGACAAAACCCAAACCTGTGGGAGCTAAGTGTCAGCACACAGGCTGGCAAACACCTCTTTTTCGCTCCTGCGTGGAAATGAAACTACACCCCAGTGATCTCTTGAACACATCTGTCTCCTTTTGTCCTCTGTCTCTTACATCGATCAATGTTGTGGGTTTCAGAAGGTACAAGGAATCCTATGCCACACAATTGTGAAAGGCTGAAGCTCAATGATTTAGATCTATTTCAAATGGACTGTTCTGTCCAGTGATGAATGATCTATTATCAATCAAAATGTCTCCTCTTTTCCCAAACCCGACACTCAGCACCAGCAGCACCTTGTAGCAGCGAGTTCCGTATGTCACTATGCGCAGCATGGGAAATGACTTAATTTTACCATCAAATTGCTACCTTTCACTTTTTCCTGAATGCAATCCAGTTCCTCTCCTAAGAAAAGCCATGAAGAGAAGCATTCATTCCCTTTCTACATCGCTGATGGCTTTGTTTTCCACAGCGTCCCTCCTCTGTCTCCCTGAGCTAACTAACCCCTTCTTAACTAATCTCTCTATGTCTATCAGGCATTAGTGGGATTACCTTCTTGGAGAAGGCAAACAGAACGTGAGGAGCCCCTTGGGCTGGAGCTGCAGATCCCAGCTCTGTGTCAGAGCTCTGGGAAGCCTCGTCTCCTGAGGAAACCTTGCTCACATTTGACAAACGTGAGGAATCAGCAGAGTGCAATGTTTTCATCCTGGGGAGAAGGAGCTCAGACAGCTCCCTGCGCTGCGTGGCGGCGGAAGCTGATTGAACACTTGGGAGCGTTGGCAAAGTAGATAAATTTGAGCTCTTAAGGAAAGACCTTTGGGAGTACTGATGCCACATGAGAGCGAAGACTTCAAGCTCTTAATTATGAGCCTGCATGCCTTAAAACAGCATGAAAGGGTAAAGGATCAAGTTTTTGTGGGTTGGGGTGCAGTTTGGAGACATGGAGGAATTGTCGGCATCTAACCAGTGTCCCTTCTGAAGAGAGGCTTTAGGCAGTCATAGAACCATGGAATGGTTTGGGTTGGAAAGCACCTTAAGATCATCCAGTTCCAGCCCCCTGCTATGGGCAGGGATGCCTCACACTAGACCATGTCACCCAAGGCTCTGTCCAACCTGGCCTTGAACACAGCCAAGTCTATGCCCAAGACAAGGGTGCTGATAACCACGGATCTGATCCTCATGCTGCATGTATTAGTCTCTTATGGTATGGGTAGGATTTAAACCACAGTCCTGTTAGGCTGAGCTGCATCCCAGCAAGTGTGCCTCAGAGATGCAGGGGCCTTGCCTGGGAGACAGACGATATGGGGCTGTCTCAGCTCTGACGCGATGAGCTGCAGTGTCTCCCTTGTAAAGTGGGGGTAGTCATCCTGACAAACAGCTCTGTATGTGGGCAGGGAGCGCTCTTAATCACATATGCAGAGTACTTTGAGATTCTGGGATGGGAAGCAGCACATAATACTTATCATTAGACCAAAAGGCCACAAGCAAGAAGGGCAGAGCAATGCTAGACTTCTCCAGAGCCCTGCAGGTGTGTGGGACACAACTTCCAGTCTGGTGTATTACCACCTTGTTTAGGCTTCTGCTTGTATTAGGAACAATTAAGTACAAGGAGGAAGAGGACAGATATCATCTTTCCTGTGTACATCCTGCAGAATAAATGCAGAGCTTTCCCAAAGCAGTTCTGCATGCTCAGTAAAGGGCATCTTTGGAGCCTATCAAATATCCCATCCCTTGCAGGCATACACAGGAAGGCTTGCGGCATGCGTCAAGAGATCTCTTTATTGTTCCCAAATATCAGGAATAGGAAAGACAACTGAGAATGCTGAAAAGAAGGAAGAAGCTCTGGGAGGCAGATGGGGTTGTGGAGTGGCTCCTCATAGATGAAGGTGACTGTGCCTGCACAGCACCACAAGTGAGATGGGTGGCAGGGGCTAGAGCTATGAAGGCACTGAGAAACAGGGGGTGTGCGCAGAGCAGTGCCACTGGTAGGTGATTACTACAAAGAGGGGAGGAAAGCCATGCAGGGGTATGGCTGGAGCGGATCCACTCCAGGCTCCTGCCTGCTAGGAACGACTTTGGTCTCAGCACTAAGGACATCTCCTGGCCTGCTGCTGAAGCAGAGGCAAGTTCCCTGCCAGAAAGCACCTCTACTGATGCTTCACAGGCAAGAAGAAAGGATGCTGGATACACAGGAGATGCAGCCTTGAGCTGTCCAGTACCACTTCGGATGCTCTGCAGGGAAGATGCCATTAGAGGACACAAGCACTAGGCGCAAAGGCATTCCCAAACCATGGAAAGAACATGAATTTAAGGGTTTTACATTGTGGAAGTATATTCTCTCCTGCACACATTTTAGCTGCTGCATAGCTCTGTACAGCTCCCTAGGCAACAGACTTCCCAAATGACACCATAACAAAGCCCAAAGGTGTGGGAGCCTCACTCATTAAACACCCTTGCCATGGGAGCAAGTGTCCCCATCCCAACTGCTTTATTTCCTACCCCACAGCTGCCAAGTGTCTTGCAGATCAGGCTGAGGCCCTTCTCTGTAAACGTGGCTGCATCTCAGCTGGGCTCTGTGTCAGCTGGTTGAATTGCTTTGGGATTGCAATGTTGCCTAAATGATTTATCAATTATTGTTATGGTTATTGTTATTATTATTATTATTATTACTACACAGAAGATGTCAAAGAAGCCAAGAGCTTTAATTTTATTTCAATCGATTCCTGAAATACCCGATACTATGTGTTAGCTGCTCAGCACATCTACCTCTGTACATTAATTGCCCTGCAGAGCCTTAATTCAGTGCAGACTGAAGTGCCCTGAAAGTGATACTGGTTGCTCCCAGGAGGGAAGGAGGAAGGAATCACAGCCACGGGGCTCCTGGTCTCATGCTGGGCCAGCACAGCATGTGCTCGGCCACTGGTGCTCACGTACAGCCTGCGTCCCAAGCATGCCTGTTGACAGAAAGCTTCCAGGAAACCATGGAGCAGGCACCGACCGAAAACCACCCTGGTCCTCGCATCCTGCTTCAAGGCACGGAGAGAAGGGGATTGGCAGCATGCACTGCTGCAAGCAGATGTGACACAGGCTGTCACACACAGCTCTGCCAGTGGCCCCCTCCTGCCCTGTAGCTCTTTGTATTACCTGAGGCTGATGTACCCATAATCTCCTTCCAAAGTATCTCATTTTGGAGTAATGATGGCCTCTGCAATGTGAGGATCCCGTCCTGCTGTCTGCATGCACCCATCTCCCAACTCGCTATAGGGCCCCTGTTCCTAGCCCTCCCTGAGGCTGTTTGGCAGTCCAGAGATGCAAGGCATGCAACTCACCATTCATTTTTAGTCCTCATTTCACACCAGACACGGTTTAAACCTGAGCAGAGGTGGGTGACCAGACCGGTGTGCAAAGCCGCTGTACCTTGCTCTACTCACTGCATATGTGCTTTGCAGAAGGAAGCCTCTGAGGTCCAGGAAAGGAGCTGAAAGCACCTTTATCACCTGCATTCACAGTTCAGTATCCACTCGCTCTCTGAGCTATGCAGACTTCAAGCTGCTGGATGGGTATTTATTGCTTGTCATTATTGCCCTGCTACAATGATGCTTGGTGCTGCTCTGCAGATCCAAACACCCCTGCTCCCAAGCACGCACAGAAACTGCCCATTGCCGGGTTTCCCTAAAGGGTTACAGAGGAACCAGCTGCTTCTCTCCGCATTTGCAAGCACCTGCAGGGTTTCTCTCTCAAGCACTGGTTGCTGATCCTCCCTTCCCTCCCCTGGCCCCAAGCTGGATGGGCAAACGGCAGAGGTAGGAGGGTGAGCAGAAACTACTTTCCAACTCACCTAGGTACAGACACCCCAAACTCAGCTCCAGAAAACCAGCAAGTGCATCCCTCTGCAGACACCCGTGTGCCGGGTGGGGGTGAAAGGAGTCCAGACCCTCCTGCTCTTGCTCTCTTCCACTCTCACTCCATTTCCCCAGAGCTCCTCACCGGGATGCTCGCTCGGGGTCGGTTCCCGATTTATGCCTGCACACAAACCCCAGCACCGCTCTGGACTTCGGCTTCCCCGGTATTTGTCACTGAAAAGGCACAATAAAGCCTCTCGGGGGGGGGAGCGTTTGGACAACCCGGCCGGAGATCCCGGCGGGTGCTGCAGCCACGGGTGGACAGGCACCAGGACTGGGGCATCTCCCCACAGCTGGAACATTCCAGTCTGGGAGCGGGATGTTGCTCTTCTAGAAGGTGCCCAGGCCGTGTATGTGTGTATGTGTGTGCAAGGATAGGGGCTCCCCGTGAAGCACGGACCCGGTTAGGGCGCCGAGCACGGATGAAGTTTGGGGACCCGGCTGCCGGTCGCGGGGCTGGGCATCGCTCCCGTCGCCAAGCACCGGGGGTTCGCAAGGTCAACCCCGCATCCCCAGCGCTCCTCCCGACACCCCCAAACCCCAGTGCCCCACGGCGGGGGAGGGTCCCGCTTACCTGGCGAGACGCGCCGGTCACGGCGGAGATGCGGGAGCGCCGGGCGAGGGGCGGCACCGGGCCGGGGGCTGCCAGGGGAGCATCGCCCGCCGCCGGGCGGAGGTGGGTCCTCCCTGCCGCCGGGGGACGGGGACTCCCGGGACGGGGACCGGCCCGTCGGCGCGGATGGCGGCGACCGCCTTCAGACGGCGCCGGAGATGCGGCTACGCGCGGCGCGGAGCCGATTTAAGGCCACCCCGTGCCGGGGGTGGGAGAGCGCCAAAGGCCGCCCGCAGCAGGCTCCTGCGCGCCGCGCATCCCGCGGGGCCACCTTAAATGGGGAAAGGGCAAGAGCGGAGCCGGTGAGGAGGGGAAGGAGCGGCGAGAAGGAGATCCGAAGCGAGTGGTGGAGGGGGGGAAGGTGAGCTGGGATGGGAGTGGAGCTCTGTCCCTCCAAGGGGCAGGTTTTCCCTTCCCTGTGCTCTGCCCGCTGAAGGCGGTGGGGTGGGACTTTTGTTGCCTGTCCCCTGAGGCTCGTTTTGCTGCTAACCGAGTGCTGGAGTGATCTCTCAATCCCCGCCGGGGATGCTCCAAGGAGGAACCACTTGCCATCACGACAGGGTGTAAGGGTTGAATGAGATAAGGCAATCTATAGGGCATAGCTCGAAGCCGGGGGCCATAATGCTGCCAGGCTTTGGTCTCCCCACTTGTTGCTTGGTGGCTCACATCGTGTGCCTCAGTTTCCCTTTTAGCTCTGAGATGGGCAAGGAGCGTGTGTTAGTGCAACCCACAGCAACGGCTGCTTGTCCACTTGAGCAACCACAGCCCAACACTGTCTGGCAGCCTCTAACCAGGAGCAGGTTATGTGGGAACAGAAGACAGACCTGCTTTGGTTTTCCCCTCCCGTATGAGCTCTGCCTGCCAGCCATAAAGACACCATGCTGCTTGAAGCGGGGAGTGAGAAGCAATTCCTTAGCCTCTCACCCGTGGCTGAATGCAGAGGGCAAAAGGAGAAGCGAGGGCTCTCTGCTCCAAGAGACTTCTTTCCAGCCTTCCCCTCCCGTAGGACTGGGCAGCACATGTCCGTACCCCACTTACTGTCCCGAGGGTTGTGACTGCGACATTCTAATGGTGTCTCCTGAAGAGGTTGCCACAGCTTTCAGCAAGCCATAAGGTGCTGAAGGTAGCACAATTCCAGGCTCAGGTGGGGACTTGATGTTTAAGTTTGGCTTCAGGTAATGAACCTCCTGCTGTGGGATGCACTAAGCAGGGCAAAATGTTTTGAGGTCCTTGGCTGACAAGTGGAGAACAAGAGAATTCTGTTCTCTCAGGTTAGCTGGCAGGTCTCGGCCACGTTTCTGGAGCAGACATTGCTGAAAACACTCAGAAAGGAAGACATCAAGTGGCATTTTACAGCCCAAATGACATTTACAAAGTGCAACACAGAGGTGAACCCTACACAGGCAAAGCAGCAGGTGTGTGTGTGCCAGCCCTTGTCAAAGGGATGCTCTGAGCTGGACAGGTTCAGTGCCACTCTCCTTGCTGCCATGTTCATGGCTGCACAGACCTGTGTCCTCATGCACCTCTCAGCATGAGTAGTGACAGCCCTGGCATCCCAGGCTGCTCTCACTGTGTGGAAGCCATCCATCCACCCATTCACCCATCCATCCACCCATCCATCCATCCATCCATCCACCCATCCATCCACCCATCCTGAGTGCTGGAGGCATCAAGTCCCCACTTGTATGGTTGGCCCAGAAGAGCCCTGTGTGCTCAGGGCTGGAAGCCAACATGTGGGTGTCAGGAAATGGCAAGATGCTTCCCTGCAGATGGCTCGGCAGAAGCCTGAATTACTCCTGCATTACTAGCAGAAGCGTTACCCTGCTCCAAGAATTAGCGAGCTGTGGTGCTCCAGCTCTGCACTGCCTTCATTATAGGCAAAGCTGCACCAAAGACATTGACTGCCTACCCTTGCAAGGCATTGAGTCTCTCAGCATCCCCTGGGACAGGACACAGACTTCATCCCCTTTGTGGCTGAGTTGGAGATGATCCTTGGCTGGACACTATAACCCTGGTACCTCTGTAGGAGAGGCTGGTTTAGGACTTAAGGACTTTGGCTCCTAGGGATCTCTCTGGAGTGCAAAGGTGGGAGGAAGAGGTCAGATCCAAAGTTGTTATCAACTCTGGTAGCCCAAACCAGTCAGGCTTTGCTTACTCATGCTCCAGGCTCCCCCTTTTTATGTCCACAACCTTTTACATGGCTGTTTCACTGCTACACACAGAGCCACACTTTATTCAATACACCCCATGGCTGGACTGGAGGAACTGAGGGTCAGCACTGCAGGAATATGCTCCTTGCATGACATCTCCATCCTGAGGTCACCACAAAGCCAAGCTCCTTCCCAAGGGGTACACGCTTCAAGATCAGAGAAGAGATGCTGCTGGAGTGGGTAGTTGACTGTTACAATCTGTACACAGATTTATTCCTGCAATGCTGTGTCAGTCTTGAGGCAGACCCACAGAGCACATCCCTGAGTCTTGCAGCAGTTAAGTCATAGGAGAGGAAACGCTGTGGAAAGCATCCAGTGACTCCTGCTGCAGACTAATAAGCCCTGTGATTCTCCTGAGGTCTTGCTCCATCTGGACTGAGTGGATGCAGCTGCTCCCCATCCACCCAACTCACCCCTCCTGCTGCTGCTCCTACAAGCAATGCATGGCACTGAGTGTCTGAGGCATCTTACAGGACTGAGGGAGTGAGTTGTTCATGCTTCCCACTCTCCCTTCTGCTAAGGGATTTGGCTGCAGGGATCTTGACGGTGTCCTCTGCTGTAGGCAAGGTGTGTGATGCCGTGCTGAGAACTTGCCTCTTCGTTGCACTCAAGGTAGTGGAGAAGCAAGCAGAGAAGTTGCTGGTTCCCAGCTGGCATAGTGCATTTCACAAGCAGAAGGTGAGGAAGAGCCTGCAGCAGCCCTGGAGGATGGCAGAGAGGGGATGTGGGAGGGAACCCTGCAGAAGAGGTCAGTCAGGAGTCATGCCCGCAGTGCTAGGGTGAATAGGCCCATGCTACCTATGTAAATACAAAGCACACCACACGCTCAAGTGAGCGAAACCTTCTCTATGAGCTGAGGATGTTGTACCCTCTTGCTGCTGAGAGTGAGGATGAGCCCTGGAGAAGACAAGTGTCACCCCTGAAATCTGTATCTGAGAGATGCTCTGATGGTCTTGCCTGCTGAGCCCCCGGTCACGATACAGCCTGATTGTATTCTCAGTGAGCTATCTTCTGCCTAGCCAGACCCAGGGACTGACCCCCTTCCCACCTCCTTTTCCTCCCATCCTCCTAACATCACTCCTTCTGGACCTGGTGAAGGAATGATGTTAGAAGTGGGAAAGGGGGGTCAGGTGCATCTCTCACAAGGTCCAAAGCTGCAGCAGGGCCTCTCTCCTCATTGTAAACCTGCCTCAGAAGATGTGCAGCAGAACAAGCAGTCCTTGATCTCAAAGCTGGCATCCTTTGAGGAACCTGTGCTTCAGCGAAGCAGCCAGCAGTTTGCTGCCTGAAGAAAGCTGAAAAGCCGCTCTGCAAGCTCTGCAGTTTCACTTCTCTCCCCCTTGAAGCACCAGAACTAAACACTAATCAAGCTATTTCTGCTACAAGCTGGGGAGGAAAGAAAGAGAGATTGTTAGTGTTAATGCTATTTTTAAATACTTTGCAGGCTTTTGAATAGGATGATGATGGAGGCCGGGTAAGGCCCCAGACAGAGACAGATTGATGTGTGGTAAACACATCTGTTATTCTTCAATGGGGAAGCAGCCCTATCAGCATCACCACTCCAAAGGTGCAGCAAGAAGCTGCTGTGAGGACTTTGGTTCGGTGGTCCTGGGGCCCTCTGCCTCTTCCTTAGACAGCCATGAAGCATCAACACTGAGCTTGCACACATCCCCTCCCACCCCAGATTCCAGCTTACAGGAAGGTCGCTGCTTGTGTGCCAGAGCCTCCATGAACCTTCTGCATGGGTTAAGCAATTGCCTGCCTCTGACTGTGTCTTGCACCCTGGGGAGGGGGTCTCTCCATTGATGCCCTTTGCCCACATCCTACAAAGCTAAATGGCTCCTGCCCACCAACTAAAGGCAGAAGGAAAAGGTCTCAAGCTTTGGTCTCACTGCAGCAGTACGGGATATTCCCATGTGATGGTGGGAGAACAGGATGGGAGCAGGGAGGTGAGACGTGCTGATGGAGAAGTTTAAGGAAAGCCAAGCTCAGGTGACGCATTCAGATTGAGTTTTCCTTAGTAGCAGGTGAGAAGCTTGAAGATACAGAGCCTGCATCTGAAGGTCCCCTTGAACTATTGAGCTGTTTGGGCAGGGGCTCCATGTGCACCCAGGGGATGGCACTTCAGCATCCTGCCCCTCTGGAGAAGTTTTGCAGGCAGAAGATATGTATTTGACTTCCATCGATTTATGAGCCATTCTTTAATGTCAAGCAGAGAGTTATATCCTGGTGGTTGATTCCTATAGGGTGGCTTAAAAAAGAAAGTCGCTCTCTATTAAAATGTCAGCCTTAAGAATAATTTCTGTGCCATTCTGTCAGTCTCAGCGCTGTTAAATTCGATAAGACTTTTCCATAAAGCTTAAGTATCTGCTTTTATAAGAAACTACATCTTAAATGAGCTATCATTGGAAAGCACGGGCCGGATCCTCTGTGCCACTGCATCAAAGTGATGCAGGAGTAGCTTTTGAAAGCGCTGTCGTACAGACCATGACCTTGCTGAAGATACTGTGCCACTCAAAGCACACTGATCACAGCAGATCTCTGCACTGCCATTCCCAACAGCCAGTTTTAATTCAGTGTCCAGAAAGATGCAAAGGGCCCTGCTTTCCACAACCACTCTAACGTGATGTCAAATCCTCCTTCTTCCAGAATCGGATCATGACACATCCTTTGTGTGTTCCCTTTGGGAGGCAGAGGAGAGGCTGGGGGTGGAGAACAGAGGGCAGTTGTCACCCAGCTCCTCGGCTCTATGAGAAAGTGGCTTCTGTTTCCGAGCTTCTCTCCGCGCCACATCTTTCATCGACATCAAATTAAACAAGACTTTCTTTTGTATGAGGGGAATGAATGGTTCGTGTAAGGGTCAAATAGCACTGCCTGCATAGGCTGGAACCTGCCTCACACAGTATGGGCTTGTCCTGCAGACACACAATCGCTGTCAGTTGTGTATGCCCACAAGGCTGGCTCCCCTGCTGGCACTGGACGCATGGGGGCAGAGTCCATACACCCAGGCAGGGAAGGAGGCAAATGCCAGGGCAGTGCTGCATCTGTGCAATATCTAGTGGCTGAGCAGGGCTCTTCTATG